GGGAATTGGATGATATTTGTGAACATAATAGCATAGGTTGTATGTTCCATTGTGATTAAAGAATTGAACACGTTAAATCTACTAACCTTCATGATAAGAGCACGTGCGACTAAAAAATTCTGATCAAGCTGTTCAGCCGTTGATCAGTACGATACAAATGTGTCATCCAGTGTTCTCACTACAATTATTGGTGGCTTTTATGTAGGATAAATGAAGTTATTAGCTTCTTAACTAGTTGATTGGTATATGAAATCATTTTCCTCATCATCGTAAAGCATGAATAAATGTCTATCGGTCCCCGTCAAGTATGTTTTTTTACGTTATTTTGCACAATTAATTTTCATGTTTCTCTATGCTTAAAAATAATTCAAACTTACTTTTAAGTTATGCATTTACAAACATTATTTTCGATACTTATATTTTTTTTGTCTTCTCTAACATGATTTGTGTACATTTTGTTTGGTCTGAAATCATATGGAACATGCTATGACCCCTAAATGCACATTTCAGTATAAATATATTCTTTGAAATAAAAGAATTTTTCCACTCTTTCTTCCCTTAGAAATTATGTTGTGAAATCATCGGCCAGTGAATATTTCAGTTCGCTCGTGCAACTCAAACCCTCTCATCGGAATATCCACAAGTATAAAACCATAAGGATGGGAAGACACTAGCATTTCACGTATTTTCTTCTTTAATTCTATCTATTCATGTTTGGTCGTTAAACAAAACATAGAAATACAATATAGATAGTTTGGTTCACCTTGCTCTTCAATTTATGTTGACGAAGCATGAATGATTATACTCTTAGAACTCTCTTTGTACGTGAAACTTTCAAAGAAAAAGTATAGGTCGCATATTATATTATATATATTTACATCATATCCCGTGTTTTTGTTACATTGTGTCAATAACTCGTAATTATGTGGATGGAAATTTTAAATATGTATTTGATATCCAATTTTTAAACTTTTTTTCTTTTTATACTGTTCAGTAACATGGAATAGATCTTACAAAAAAAACATAAAGGATTTACTACTATCAATTTGTTCACTTTTCAATTGACATGATATATATAGTTTGACATGTCCCTGACCTTAGTTTTTGAGCTCCCTTAACGGCCTATCATTTCAATTCCTTGCATATCAAGTATGGAATATTTTGATTATTGATCTTGTGATATTTACCTCCGTTAACGAGTATGAAAATGTGAACACGCAATATTTATGAATTAACACTTTAATACTCTATTAATTCAATTAAAAATTTCACTTTTAACAACAAAAATTTTTCTCTTGAAATGTGTCTCAATAATTATTTTTTGATTAAACAACTAAACAATGACTTCTTCTCCAAACCCAAAGTTTGGAGAATTTTGAAATTTTACTAGTGATCAAACTTATAGTCTAAGAGACCAAACCTAGATAACCTTATTCATACAAGTTTAAAATAAGATCTTTTTGAAAATGAACTAAAACAAAACCCTAACAATATTATATAAGGCTCATTGAATCCTTTAAACGAAGCCATCTACCCAAAACCAAAGGGATGTCTCAAAATTTTACTCTTAACTTTACTCAAAAGCTTGAATCTGGTTGAAACTATCGAGTTATTCCAACTATGTCCATGAATATATAAAATAGCATATCACTACCACGAAAAGCTTGTTTGATTGGCAATGTATCGAATTAAAGAAGCGTTGTCGTGTTATGTTGACGTCAAAATTTGTAAAGAGCAATTTCAAGTCAACTTTAAGAAAAAGGGTAATCTTCCTCTGTTATGAAAAAGGGCAAAATATGTTTTGTAGAGAATTATTTCGTGTAATGTGTTTTCTTGAAAAGTTTTACCCCCCTAGGAGAACTGTCTCCCTACTATTTATATATGATTCTAGCTGAAATTACATCAAATCAGCTACAGGATCGAGCTCGGAAGTCAGGTCGCAAAATTCTCCTGTGATTGGTTGACGAGGCCGGTTGTCATGTGCCAACGTTCCTCTCAGGTAATGATGGCCTGCAAGAAGTTGGAGATCCGAGACCTTGGATTGGTCGCTTTGGGCGGTGACGACGTCACCCTTTATAAGTGTATGTGATTGAGAGAATAATATGACAAAAGGAAATCATTATCTCCCTTAAAGCTACGGCGGTAGTATGCCGATCTGAAGTGCATGGCCGGACTCACATCTGCTTGAGGTGGTGCCTGTAAATGACAATTTGTGAGATTGGAGGTTGGTGGTCAACATGTTATATCTTGAATGTCATATTCTAAATTAAATTGACGTACAAATATTATCAAATCTTGAGTAATTATGTGTGGATGTGATATTATATAAATCTATCCTAAAACTTGTTAAGAACCTTACGTATCTGAGGGATCGAACTATATAATCTTAAGGTATAATTACAAAAGGGGAAAAATAAAAATCCTTTGTTTATATTCAATAATTAAATATTTAAAGAATCCAGCTTTTCTTCAATTATGATTATACAAAAATAAGCATCCTACATTTGATATGAGGTAGCCATTTTCAATCAGTATAATCATTGATAGCTTCCCTTTTCCTTTCTGGACGTAAAAAGATACTTAGCATAACTGAAAAGAAATTAGATAAACAATGTTGACCTTGAAAATTGGTTCTTCCACGTGGTCAATCGAAAGCTATTCCACGTATTCCTCCCTGCGCACAATCAGCAAATGGTCAGACGCACACGGCGGGGACTAACGAGAGTGGTAGAAGCCGTATACACTCCGACGGTCAAGTCAGGTTTAAGTGGTTGGAACAGTACCCAGGGGCTGTGCAAATCAATGGTAATGGGGGAAGAGAAAATATATAAACTTGCTATAAAGTGCTATGTAGTAAGAGTTTCATTACATTTGCCTCTTGCCAAACCTTGGGTATTTATAGGTGGTATGAACCGTTGGATGTGGGACGCGTGTATACACCGTCATGAGGCGTTCGCTCATAGGCGTCAATCAACCGTGTTTGTAGAGTGGGCGGACAGCTTGTCTCTTTTGAGTTGAATTGACATAAAGTTGATAAATCACATCATCTAACCTCATGGAGACGTCAAATCAATTTAAACCTTAGGTGCAGGAAAGATCTTGGCACAAATCTCTTTCTGAAATTGGCAGCGGATCCTCTAACCGGGGTCCACTTGGCCTCGGCCTCGGGGGCGAGGTACTTTTGGTCAGGTCAGTACTACTAGGTTACAGGCATTGCTGACATCACTTCGGAAACACTTCGGACGGGTCTTTACCAGGTCGGAATATACGGTGGTGAGCGTTCCAAGGCGTATCAAATCGGAGCGTAACAGTGGTCCCCCAAGTCCAGGTATGAATATTTATATCATGGGTGGACTTGCTTTCTCAACCGGACTGCGACTTATGGGAGCTTGGGGGTTGATCTCTTGCAGTAATCAAGGTTATGATCCTAGGCAGATGTGCCAAAATTTCGTTACTGTGCGCAGCGTCCGAGGTGGTGACCATCATGAGACGTCGCGTAAGGTGCGTCGAAGCTTCGTAAATATGATGCGCTGACCTACAGGGCCGACGCGTTGGGAGGGCTAAAACTTTGTAAAGCATGGGAGGGAACGCAGCATCCGAGGCGATGACCCACCAGGGGCGTCACGTCAGGTGCGTCCAAACTTTGTAAAGTTGAGTGAGGAGCTCATCTGCCACCGGTGCGCTGAGCCAAAGGGTCGACGCATTGGGAGATGGCTAAAACTTTGTAAAGCATGGGAGGGAACGCAGCATCCGAAGCGATGACCCACAGGGGATGTCGTGTCAAGTGCATCCAAACTTTGTAAAGTTGAGTGAGGAGCTCATCTGCCACCGGTGCGCTGAGCCACAGGGCCGACGCGTTGGGAAATGGCTAAAACTTTGTAAAGCATGGGAGGGAACGCAGAATCCGAGGCGATGACCCACAGGGGACGTCGCGTCAGGTGCGTCCAAAACTTTGTAAAGTTGAGTGAGGTGCTCATCTGCCACCGGTGCGCTGAGCCACAGGGCCGACGAGTTGGGAGATGGCTAAAACTTTGTAAAGCATGGGAGGGAACGCAGCATCCGAGGTGATGACCCACAGGGGGCGTCGCGTCAGGTGTGTCCAAGCTTTGTAAAGTTGAGTGAGGAGCTCATCTGCCACCGGTGCGCTGAGCCACAGGGCCGACGCGCTGGGAGATGGCTAAAACTTTGTAAAGCATGGAAGGGAACGCAGCATCCGAGGCGATGACCCACAAGGGGCATCGCGTCAGGTGCGTCCAAGCTTTGTAAAGTTGAGTGAGGAGCTCATCTGCCACCGGTGCGCTGAGCCACAGAGCCGACGCTCTGGGAGATGGCTAAAACTTTGTAAAGCATGGGAGGGAACGCAGCATCCGAGGCGATGACCACAAGGGGCATCGCGTCAGGTGCGTCCAAGCTTTGTAAAGTTGAGTGAGGATCTCATCTACCACCGGTGCGCTGAGCCACAGGGTCGACGCGTTGGGAGATGGCTAAAACTTTGTAAAGTATGGGAGGGAACGCAACATCCGAGGCGATGACCCACAGGGGGCGTCGCGTCAGGTGCGTCCAAGCTTTGTAAAGTTGAGTGAGGAGCTCGATCCAAGGCGATTCAAACGTCAAATGATTTGACAACTGTTGCGTGTTTCCAAGGTGACAGTTGGGTGCCATGCCCATTCTCCTAAAAGGCTGCTGCGTCTACTTATTATTATTGACGACTGGTTGTAACCGAGGTGACGCGTTTTAAGTAAGCGTGAATGTCACAGCGACATCTTGGTCGTAGATCAAATCTGGGGTTTCATTTTAACGGCCTAGATTGAAGATGCGATGAACGGCTTAGATTGATCGCATTTGAATTTGACGGTGGAGATCGGATTTGTCTTTCTATAAAAGGAGGACTCTGAGGTTTTCTCAGGCTTTCTACCTTTGCGAAACAAACAATTTACTTTACTCTCACATAATTGGCGATTTTCGGCGTTTTCTAAGCAACTCCGGCGAGAAAATTGAACTTCCGGCGACCTTACACCATTTTCGGCTAGGAAAACCTTCAAACTCGTAAGTTTCATACCTTTTAGGGCTTTTAAATTTGAAAGAATGGCCTCGGAGGGAAGTTCTGGTTCGGGAGGGGATTAGAACTAGTGAGGGTGGATGAGCCCGTTGTGGCGACCTCCTCATAAATAACTGGGGCAATAATAGGGGGGGAAATATATGGAAGCGACCGGATAGCCCAGCAGATACGTCTGTACATTGGGGGCGTTGGACTGCCCATCTAAATTAAGAGAGGCCGACCTGGGGAGACTGAGGACAGAGTATAGGATCCCTGATAGCATAGATTTGATCCTCCCCGGGCCGGAAGAGAGAGCTTGCTAGCCTAGGCCGGGCTGTGTGGCCATTAGCGAGGCGATCCTTAGGGTCGGACTTAGGCTGTCAGTTCACCCATTCTTTAGGATGGTGCTTAGATCCTATGGGCTAGCCCCGACGTAGCTCAATCCGAACTCCTGGAGCCAAATGGTGAGCTCCTGGATGTTGTGGAAAGAGGCGTCATTAGGGGTGAAGATGCCCCTCTCCATTTTCCAGACCCTTTATATACCTAAGGTTACTGCCAGGGGGATAAGACCCGGGGATGGTATTACCTTACTTCATGGGGTCCCCACACTCCATTCGTGCTCGATCTGCCGAGCTCCATCAAAGAATGGAAGAGCTCGTGGTGTTGGGCCGCAGGGCGATGGGGCACGATGGAGGGGGACCCCCTGGCGCCTCTTACGGTCCCTTGATTCTCTTCTCCGAGGAGATTGTTCCCTGTGACCTCTCCCTTCCTTTCTCGAAGAGGTGGATCTGCGAGGGTATTCGTCCCTGCTGGAAGGGTGCGGGTTGCTTCGATCAGGGCGTCGATTGGCGTCTCGACACTCACCAGTGTCATGTCCATAGAGTTGATGGAACGTACAAAACCTTGCCCCTTCCAAGGGTCTGTTTGACTTTTTTTTCTTCTTCTTCTTGTTATCAGCTCTTTCAAATGGTCCCGCTTCGGCAGGGGCATTATCATATGCCAATACCGGTACTGCATTCAATGTGGCGGAAGCCTGGGCCTGTCCGGATGTGGGAGCTATTGTATGACCCGCTTGGGTCCATTGCTGAGTAATAAGGTGTGCTGCGGGTCCTCGACCTACTTGCCTCTGAGGAGGAAGGAGTCCTTGCGTGGCACGGTTGCGATGATCAATCATTTCTTCACTAACAATTTCCACCCTCATCATTTCCACCAGCTCATCATATGTGGAGGGATTTTTGCTGCGCACATCCCTCCAGAACAAAGTGTTCATGTTGAGCCCACCTTTTAGGGTTGAAAGGGCTTCTCTGTCAGTGACATGTTTGCTTTAGGTGATTTCATCTGTAAATCTGGTGAGATAGCTTTTCAACATCTCCCCAAGGGCCTGCCTCATATCTTGCAGGTGCTGCACTGGTGCCTCTCCTTCCCTGCGTAAGAGGTACTGTTCAAAAATGCTTTCTTCAAATCTGGCCAACTTCTGATGCTTAGGGAAGGAAGTCTGCTGTACCATACCTTGACGGCCCCGCCTAGCGTTAAATGGAAGGCTTTGCACTTTAAAGCAGGCGAGGCTCCCCTTGGGCTCATCTGTGTCATGTACTTGGTGAGGTGCTTCTCCGGATCCCCCTTTCCTTCATACTTGGGGATCTTAGGGGGCATGAAATTTGCTGGCATTGGGAAGCTTCGAATCTCTCTTGAGAACGGGAGGTTATCATCATCATCATCATCGTCAATCTCATAAGATCGACAGGGCCCATCTGACCTTTCATCATCTTGGATGTTCTGGGGAGGTGGAGGTGGAGGTGCTTCTCCTCGACTTCTCCAATCGACTAAGTTCCTCCTGTCTCTCCTATTTCTAGGAGGAGGGAAAGCATGTTCTTGTTCGTGATCTAGACGAACTGATCCTCTTGCTAGGGGGACCCTATTGCTAGGACGCTCCCCTATCCGATCGAAAACACTTACCGACCTTTGGTCCTCATGTTCTTGAGGGAAATTGTCCCCCAAGCGTGATTCTGATGGCTGACTCCCTTGCACATAAGATGTAGCTTCGACGTTCATCTCCCTTTCGAGGGGACGTTTCGTGTGCCGGCTCATGTGGCCTCGGGAGTGAGATACAGGGGCTTCCCGCACCGGATAAGATCCTTGGGGCATTTGATAGCCCTGATGACCCTGGGCTTGCATGAGGAGTTCATGCATTACCATATTCTGAGCTGCAATATCTCTCATACCTGCAGCTATCTGAGCCATTCCTTCAGTGAGTATGGATGTTCTTCCACCTCGGCGATGCCGGTGATGTGGTCTCTGATGAGTAATATTGTTATGGAGTACCTCTTCTTCAGAGGCCTCTCTCATGGGGTTGTCGTCTTCATGACTATAGCTCATCCTATCTCTTTTTCAAGGGTAGTAAAAACTTGGATTGTAACTCGACTTTGTTATTTTTCAAGAATGTCCCCTTTTCAGGGTTAGTCGCTAGTTTTTCGATAATTCTTCAATGGAGAATGCAAAACTTCGAATGGGAAGTGTTTCCCACAGACGGCGCCAATCTGTTGACCTCGAAAATTGGTTCTTCCACGTGGTCAACCGAGGGCTACTCCACGTATTCCTCCCTGCGCACAATCAGCGAATGGTCAGACGCACACGGCCGGGACCAACGAGGATGGTGGCGGCCATATACACTCCGACGGTCAAGTCAGGTTTAAGTGGTCGGAACAGTACCCAGGGGCTGTGCAAATCAATGGTAATGGGGGAGGAGAAAATATATAAGCTTGCGATGGAGTGCTATGTAGTAAGAGTTTCATTACCTTTGCCTTTTGCCAAACCTTGGGTATTTATAAGTGGTATGAGCCGTTGGATGTGGGACGCGTGTATACATCTGATGGTATGAGGTGTTCGCTCATAGGCGTCAATCAGCCGCGTCTGTAGAGTGGGCGGACAACTTGTCTCTTCTGAGTTGAATTGATACAAAGTTGATAAGTCACATCATCTAGCCTTATGGAGACGTCAAATCAATTTAAACCTTAGGTGCAGGAAAGATCTTGGCACAAATCTCTTTCTGAAATTGGCGGTGGATCCTATAACCGGGGTCCACTTGGCCTCGGCCTCGGGGGCGAGGTACTTTTGGTCAGGTCAGTACTACGAGGTTGCAAGCATTGCTGACATCACTTCGAAAACACTTTGGATGGGTCTTTACCAGGTCGGAATATATGGTGGTGAGCGTTCCGAGACGTATCAGATCGGAGCGTAACAAACAATATACGTTGGAATAAACGATGTTAAATGTGATTGAAAAAAGAAGTGTAAAATGTTTGTTCATTACCATGTTCATGTCCTGAGTATCAACATGTCGCTCAAGTGTGACAGGAATAGTCAATAAGAATTATTTAAATCGATGACGTCGATTGATAATTTTTATCTGTGTTCATTTAAATATATTTTTTAGAATTCTTATGCATGATAACTAAGAGTTTGAACTATTTTTATTTTTTCTGAATTTTCATAATTTTTTAGAACTTATTTTTTCAATTATTTTTATTTTTATTTTTTAGAATTTATCAAATTTTATATTTTTAGAATTTAATTCTTTAGAATTAAGCAAATATTTACAAGCTTATTTCCCATGTTTTGAGTGTTTTCAGAATTTTTACTAAAAACAATCAAACGTAAAAAATGCATATTAATTTCATATTTTAAATTTAACTTTATTTTCGAAAATGAATTTTCAAAAATACCAGAACAAGTTATAGTGTTTTGTAAAACTCAAAACAGATTGAAAAAGCATATTGCCCAAAAGCTTAAATCGCTTAAAAAGCATCAATTTTTTTATTTAAATATTATTTTTAACGTACTTTTTTAAGGGTAAAATATCACAATTAAGATATGAAAAACTATAATCAACATATATAAAATATTTGAACTATTTCTCTTAACAATTTTGGTATTTGAAATTGAATTCAAGGCTCAATGTATTTGAGTTCAAAAAGTTCAAATGAGCAATTCAAGTGTTTAAAACTCAAACGTGCTGTCAGGTTCTAATATTGTATTCTCAAATAATTCCTACTTGTAGTGCATGTTAAGGATAAATACCACATTCAAGATATAAAACAATTTGAATTATTATTCTTTAACGAGGTTGACTATTTAAGATTGAAATTCCGAAACTCAATATCCTAACTGAAGTTGGTCTACTTTTTTTTTTTTTTTTCTCCTTCCTTAATAGGTGGACATATCAATTTTCATAAAAGGAACATTAGTCTTGATATCACAACCATTGTTTAACACCGTGTTAAATCGACTCATCAAACATCTTAAACCATTACAAAGAATAAGAATTTATTCATTTAAATTTTGTTTTCAACCTGTGTCTCACATTTTAAAAGCTTAAATTGCCTAAGTAAATTATTTATTTCAATTTTATCTTTCATACGATAGACAGCCATGTGTTTTTTTGAACAATTTGAACAAACAGACCATCAACCTATTTTTCTTTCTTTTAGCCTAAAGAGAGAATATTGTCACAAATTTGTCAATATCAAACCCTAAACTCAAATCACCATTACTATATATAGTACACAGTATTGGATAAAACACATGCCATTAAACAATGTAGAAGTCCCGTCTTTTCTACACAAGTATACCTAGAAAACACCGGCAATGGAAGACAATACCTATCCCTCGACCCACTCCCCCTTGTCAAGTTATCTACCTTGTCATTCCGACTAATAAAAATAGCCCGGTAAAGAATAAATGAGGAAAACCACTTAACAGCAATCGTTCACCACTTCTAACAGTAACTTGCTTCTGATTACAAGCAACATACACTAATCCAACTTGTAATATTACTCTCTCCTAAGTGCATGTTCCATACGTAGTACTTGAACTGACTCAACAAAATGATGAACATTTTTTTTTTTTTTAAACTTTTAGTGTCCCGTGCTACTCAATCTTCCTTAGCAATTATGCCATAGGTGTCACCCTAGCTCCAAAGTAATGTCAGCGACAGTTCAGCACATGGAAGACAAAGTATCCATCAGAACATCTGATGGGACGAGTCTGGTAAAATTGATAACCACGGCAAGCATGACTTTTACTCACTCTTAACTCGTCCAGACGGAAAATCTAAGAATTGAGTAGACAACAGCTAACCATGGGATCTACCAGTTGCAGGTATAGAGGCTGCTTCCTGAAATTGATGAACCGTCATGGTGTCATTGCTACTGTCATTGAAAGGTGCAATGTCGCTGCTTTTTGCAGTTTGCTCCAGGAGTCGAATGAGCGAGATAAAAATTTCCATCCTCGTCACATCCCTGTTAGTCTGCTTGAATCAAAGCATATATTTAAAAGGTTTGAGGTTCCAATGTAAAATCACACAAGAGAATGTAAAACAAGATGCAAGTATGCTAGTTCACGATCAGATCCCAAATGCCAAAGCTTCAATACGTCTTCCCCCACGCCCCCACACAGACAAAATGAAGAAGGAAAAAAGAAATATAAAAGAAAACTTGCAGTTGGAAAGGAAAAAAACTACAGTATCACAAACTATTTCAACGATCCGATTTATGCATATGAATAAAAAGCATCAAAATCCACAATCTGTGACTACAAAAAGCATACCAAGATCAACCAATTTCTATGTTCAAAACTCGTTATAAATGTTGAATCATCTCATCTAAAAACTTGAGCGTTTAGAGAAGAAAGTTAATTATTTATATTTAGTCTTCAGTACACTACCACTCATCACATGCAGGCCAATTTCATTTTTCTATTAAAGGCATGTCACACGCATAACTTTCATAAATAAGTGGTCGTGAAACTAGAACTAGAGATGTCTAGTTTCTCTAATACCATGTCGAATCATCTCATCTAAAACCTTAAGCTAACTCATTTGTTTAAATTGATTCTTCAACAGTAACTATTACCTCAACAACAAAGCGTGCCCAGATCTTGTCATTGCAACTTTCCATCAGCCCCTTCAAAATGGTTAACCCAAGTCCTCTAATTACATCAGCTATTTCTAAAAACAAACCATGTTCTTTACAAAGCATCTGCACAAAAGGAAAAGAACAAAGATTCACTAAGCTTTAATAACGAGACACTCTGCAGAGCTTTATGAAATGAAGGCTAGTGAACATTAAATAAATATCCAGGTCTTAAAACATAATAGGTGCATGTAACTACCTCCACAAGCATTTGTTGGGGCTGGTTCAGATCCTCGACTATGATGGGGCAGACCATAGATGTTGAACCAATTTCATAAGCCCATGTTGCTCCACCTTTAAAGTCATCTTTTAAAAGCACTCCATCATCCTTGCTAATAATCTGAAAGTTTACGAAAGAAAGATGAGAAATCTTATGTTCGTTCAAAACTTTAGTACGTAAAACTAGGGGAATTTTCCACTTCATCACAATACTCAAGTTTCCCAATTCTTATATTTTCATGATTTCCTGAATTTTACATGTACAAAATTCACATTGAAACGTCTTTTACTTCACCATTGTGATATATATCTCCTGTCATCTCGTGCACTTCCCAAGTCCAATTTGTCCAATGTACAGCTAGATTCAAAAAGTCATACCAAACACTTGAGGGGCATGTTTGGTATACAATATGGGCTGGACAATAGAATAGATCAAGATCTTAACCTTTTCTACTTTTTCAGTACTGTCTTGTATTGTACAGTCCATATGTTCACCCTTCCAAAATGAGTTAGAGAAGTTTAAGTAGTATATCGCACCTTAGATTCTCCTGTTTGTTTTAGCTTATCTGCATGCTTTGTGACACTTTGCATGAAAGTCATATGCTTGATAGTGCGTTCCAGAAGAGAATCAATGCTACACTGGTAACAAATTTAAACATGTACGAATATCATTACTACCAGTGTATCTCAAAGGGAAGAAAAAATTAGAGCTTCAAAAAAGAGGGCTTACCTTTGCCCCATTTGGCACGATTTCCCTCAATTCCTTGACACGATCTTGGATCATTTGGCGATCTTTAGGCCGGGGTCTTGGATTTTCACCTGGTTTAAGCCTCTTCCGCTTTGCTTTGCTGATTTCATCACATTTCTTAGAATAACTGGTAGACACACTGTTCGTCTGCTTCACGTCATGAAACTTTTCGACCCATGAACCTATCTGTGATTCATGAATAGAACTTCTTTGGGAATGGGTTCCCAAGTCATTCTTGGAAAGTCCAGAGACAAAGGAGCAAGAACTCACTGATCCTGCTTTTGCCAAATATTTCGGAACGCCAACTAATTCTCCCTTTATTTGATCTGATGCCCCAACTCGGCCATAAGGAAGTGAAGTATCAGGTGCAGATGAGCAAGTCGTATCTGACAACATTGTCTTACAAGAAATATTGTCTTCTAAGCCATGCTTAGGGTAAGAGTGAAACCCAGAGACAATGGCATCTAAGAGATGGTCACCGCCAGTCACGTAGGAAATATCACTATCCGAGTTTCCTCGACCATTAGTATATATTTCGGCATCCTCACTTTTTATGGACAGAGAGTAATTCTTATCCGAATTATGTTCATTCCAGTCTGATCCATTGTTCAAACCATTACTCGAACAACTATTAAGTAGCTTATTCTTAAAATCAATGCCCAAAATGTCAAACAAGTCGTCTCCTGATAGAGGTTGGACACATGCATCTTCACATGCGGAATTTGTCAATATATCCAAAGACTGATGCTTGACTGCAGAGCTATCTGAAAGCACATGATTCATGGCCAAATTGTTAACAGAATCAGAGATAGATGCCTCTATTTTAGACGAATCAGTGTTCAGAAGCCCACTTGAGCTTGGATCCATGTAAGCTGTAGTACCAGAATCCTCATTAGAACTAGAAAACGGGCCTGATTTTGTTCTCAATGCAGATGTGAGAATGCCATTGGACACATTTGGGCAGCTAAAATAGTCTTCCATGCCAGCATCTGGTAAGATTTTTGGCTCTGGCCATCTTAAACTGCCACTATTTAATGTAGATGCACTGCTAGAAGGTTGATCTACTCTCAAAATTGGGATGTACAGAGAAGCCTGTTGGCTTATTTCCGAACATGAGGGAATAACTTCCGCTTTTGTCCCTCCATTCACTAACGGGTTTGTGGAAGTAAAGTTCAACTTCATTGATGAAGTGATTTTTGCTTCATTGTGGACATCATCAGGCTTAACATGACTTAGGATTGAGTTTGATGCTTGAAATTCTCCACCACTGGACTGATGTCTTACTGAAGAACAAGAAGTCTGACTGGAATTTTCAACATAGTTGCAACTGTCATGTTTTGCCGCATAGTTTTCAGAATGCAAGACACTGGGTAGATATCCCAGCTGGTGAACTAAATTCTTCACATCATTCACAAATTCCACATTTTCCACTATCTGAGACAGCAAAGTCACATACGTCAACTTATGAGAGGATACCTTTTCATAGCTATTAAAGCTTCAACTTTAATACTTGAAAAATAATCGAATTTCATTTCATATAGAAAAGCCGATGCCTAGCAACAAAATTACACTTCATTGTTATAATTTTTTTCATCACAGCATATTTTGTAAGTATTTGTGTTCATATTAAGTATAGAATACAGAGAAAGAACTTACTGCCAAGTGTGAACCAAGCTGAACAACACCATGGGGAAGAACGGGAACAACAGCAATTGTCTGAGAGGGGAAAACAAAATATAAAAAATTTGACAAAACAACAAAAAGCTGGGTCGCAAACAAACCAAGAAAAGGAAACTGTTAATCTTTTTACCTGCATTCCAGCGGAAAATTGTTGACCTGCTTCTTTTACAACCTAGGAACCAATAAAATATAAGTGGTTTACCACTGTTATAAGCATCGAAATAATCGGAACTTACTGTATCAGAGACTCATAATATCTAAGAAATTCCGATAATGTATGAACTGTATGTAGATGTTTGCAGCAATCTAATTCCACTGAAACGAGCATATGGCTAGTCAAACCTAATGCAAAGCAAGTTTAAAGAAATGATGGATTTCCAAGCAAAGAAGTGATTGAAGCAATTCTGTTGGATGAATAGAAAACGTGGTGTGCACTTATCCTCTTGACTACGGATTGACTACGTAGGATATTCCATACCTGTACTAAGTCGCCCAATATTACTAAAAAACAAAAAGGATTTTCAAGGGGCTGTTTTCTGTTAGTCGCGGATTGAGACTTAGAGGCATACAATCACCATCACGAGCTTCTTCTTTTTCATAGTGATAATCTTTAGCGGCGAGTAGATGAAGCCCTTACATTGAGGATGACTACTATCAATGTCATTGCACTCAGCTTGTTTTCAATTTTTTAGTTCTCTCGTGGATAAAAATCAGAACTTAATCCATAACGTGCACAAAGCTGAGTGTCATGTTATGGCACAAGAAAAAAAGAACTCTATCACTAACAGAAGTCTCTTAAGCTATACCTCTGTTGGATGTGCTTCTCCAGTAAAGCTCTCAGAAAGAATCCACTGATGATTTCCAGTAAAAGCAGCCCTTCCGATTAGTCTGAGATACAAATCCGTAAATGCAATTTAAGATGTGTTCAAAGCAACTCGTTCTCAGTCTCAAATACAACAAAAGTTACATAATATTCAACAGAATAATTATTACCCTTCTCCAACAACATTAACATAATTGTCCATCATCATTTTGTTCACAAGCATGTGCACTTTATTCCCTGCTTGAACCCCGGGCTGTAAATTACGAGTTTCAGCAGAAGCCCAGGAAGCATCATAATCTTCAAGACAAATTTCTGGATTCTCAATCCCAGGTAGCCTAGAACATGATATAGGTTCATAATAATATTCTTCCCAAATCAAAAGCCTGTGAAGTCAAAATTCAGTCGAAATCAAGACATGTTTCAGTACGTCGTAATCTAAAAGAAAGTTTTTAAACAAAACAAAGACAGGAAAGTAAGTACAAAATAGTAATGAACAAATTCATTCTCAGGAAGTCATAACGGTAGAAAGGGTTTCATCAGACTATAAAACAAGTCTCATATTATAACCTCACACTAAGATTCTTCAAGACAAGCGAATGGACCAACCACAAAACTCCAAATATAGAAAATGAAAGTTTTCAGGCAAAAACAAGACAACAATATCCTGTAGATCTATAACACGTCAAATCATATCTTGATTATCGCGAAATTAGGCAATTCTAATCCATGACCATGGCTAATGTTTGGTGAAATGGACTGGACATTGCTAGACAGTATTAAACAAGAAAAACAAGCTAAGATTTCATTCTACCATCCAATACAACATGCACAGATTGTACAACATTATTAGGGAGCCCAACCAAAAGTACAATCAGAAGTTCATACTTTTATTCCCTCATTTGTTCTTCATTACCAGCACAAACTCCAAGAAAAAAGAAATAGATTAGACCCCAAAATTAACCAAAAGCAACTGGAAAAAAGCACATATCCAACAGTAAAGTTTATACAAGATGTCATAAATGTCAAACAATAATTCAAAATATATTCCAGTGCCACCATTTCCTTGGAAACCGAAACCACAATTCATAAGCCTAATTTTTCTTTTCTTCGCCTTATAAACCCCCCATCACCACACATAAGAAAGACATATAATATACTTCGAAAAAATATGAAAAAGGATATAAAGAGCGAAAAATAAAATGAAAAATAATTAATTTTTATTGAACTCACTTGGGGTTTTGTAAACCAATCTTCCAGAAAACAGCATAAGACCATTGATTGACTCCACAAAGTGTCTTCAATGCCTCTTTGAATAAGTACCCCATAGCAATTTGCCAATGAAGAGCAGAATATATGAATACTCTTGTATATATCTGTAAACAAAGATGTATATAGAAAGCTTCTGTTCGGAACAGTGAAGAAAAAGGATAATATTTGATTTTACTACTCCTTTTCCCAGAGGAGAAACACTTTCCTTTCCTTTTCCTTCAGTTTTTCTTAGTGGGTTTTTAGCCTAACTTCCTCTGCAAGACCCACGCCCAGCCTGTTTTGTTCTCAACCCACCACTCCTTTTCCTCTCTGGATCCAAATTCCCTGGTATGAAGCTCTTACAATCCATTCTTCAGAGTGGAATGAGAAGTAAAATGAAAGGTAAAACTTTTCCTCGTGCAAATGGAAAACTTAAAACACAAGACCCTTTACTCTGTTCTACACTATTCCACTGGATTTGAGCTCACAGTTAACCACAAGAATGAATTTCTCCATTTCTCAACACAGAAAAATTATAATTTACTTCGTGTGGAAAGAAAGAACTCTGGCTATGATTTTTATGCAAGTTCTGAAATCTTGTTTCTTGCTTTCAGAGTGAAATGAGAAGTAAAATGAAAGGTAAAACTTTTCCTCGTGCAAATGGAAAACTTAAAACACAAGACCCTTTACTCTGTTCTACACTATTCCACTGGATTTGAGCTCACAGTTAACCACAAGAATGAATTTCTCCATTTCTCAACACAGAAAAATTATAATTTACTTTGTGTGTGAAAGAAAGAACTCTGGCTATGATTTTTATGCAAGTGCTGAAATCTTGTTTCTTGTGAATGATCTCATGTCTGCGTTTCCTTTGTGTTACACTGCCGAGAAAGATAATGGGCTGGGGTTGGGCTGGGGGTACGAGGTGTATGTTATTGATTGGACGCCACTACCAAGAACATTATAACAAATAAACCTAAACAAAAAACAAATAAAGAACGCAAATTTTTTCAGTAAAAAAGTACAAGTTTACAATACGTTAATATGCGATGAAACAGAGGAGACGGGAGTGGAGTATAAATCTTGAATGAACTATACGATGATTAATCAACTGGGGGGATGGAGACAAAACCAGGCATGATTTTCGGGGAAACTACAAGTTTTGCCATTTTCTTTGTCATATTTCTGGGCTTTTTTTCAACTAATTTCTCGGTGAGTCAGAAATTTGTGTCTGTATTTTGGGACTCTAAAAAGAATCTCGGAATTGGTTCAGTCAAAAACACTAGAACAGTTCCCTTTAATTTACCACCCAAAAAGCAAAATCTACAACTCTGAAAAAGAAAAAAAAATTCTGATATTTCTATTTTATAGGAAAAAAGAATTTCAAAAACTGGATTTTTTTTATTTTTTTTTTTTTTTTTTGCTTGAATCCCATCAAGATGTAATTGTTGTTGTTGGAGCATACTGGCAGTCTGCTACTCGTCCTAAATTCAATAAAACAGTATAGTTAATAAAATTTTAACATCGATTAAGTCACTCACTAATGAATATGTTCGTGTTATGATTTTTGCTATCCAATGTTAATTAAAATAATAATAATAATAATAATTAGAAGGTCGTTAAGAGGAGTGAATTAGATATGAGATCAAATAAACAAGTTTATAATGAAAAGTCATCAATTATTATGTTCAATCTAATCAAGCATACTATCGTAAAATTTATCATACAAAATTTGACGTCTAGATATTATATCAATAAAGAAACTTTTTTCGAAACTAAGAAAGGGATTAAAGATCATTAGGGTCCTAATTTGACATCAATAATAACAAAATGTTTGACAAAATATGCAATTTAGAAACAAATTTTAGTTTATTTTAAACAGAGTAAAAAATACTTCAAAAGATATTTTATGTCAATTCATCTATTTGAGGGGACAATAAAGACAGTTGAGACACACTGCCAAATAAAGTCTCACATCTAAAAGCAAACCTCAAAAGGACAAATACCTTTGTCTATTGTATATGGAATTATAGGAACCTGACAAGAGTTTGAAATTACCTTCTTGACCTCATTAACCTTCAACTTGAGAACTAAAGAGTAAAAAATACTCAGTTTGTACTAATTTCATTTATATAAATATTAATTATATATACCATTCATTAATTACTATAACTTACTTTCATTCCTAATTTATGCTACCGTCTTTGTACAATAAAATTAACAGCATATAGTAGGCTGCATTAATTATTATGAGATTCTTCACTTCAAATGTCAGTCTCATAAATTTAGAAGCACAAGAGTCACATTAACACATTTCAATAGTAGTTTATCCAAAAGGATGAATGGAAAGCGATGGTTATGGATGGAAGGAATCTGCTAACATCGAACTATATTATAGCAATAAAAAGAGGAGGATAGAATGATTGGACTTTCATAATTTTTCGTGATCACTTGAAGATGGTAGTTTGCCACCTGAGTTGAACAAGTTGTGGGTTATCTTATGCCTAAGAATGTCGAGGGCTGACAATGGGGAAGGCTCAATAAATTGGTTTACAACACATTCTGGCAAAAAGTTACTCCTTACTATCGGTTCAGTTTTTAAGTTTTGTTATTTGTTTTGCTCTTATGACCTTGTTTTATCTGATGTTGGTTTATTTCATGAGGTCGACTATGAAACTTGACTTTTTGTACCTCTCTTGAAGAAGGAATTGCCGACGAACTAAATTCGTTTTCGTTTTTGGACCCCAAATGTTAATATCTAGGTGGATTGAGTTCCATTTTTCACTGGAAAAGCTGCTCTGATAGGGTTAAAAACCTGGCTTCGGATCTAGACTATGCGTGGCAACGCCTGCTGCCTTGTTTTTTCTTTTTCCTTTTTTCCCACTCTTCAATCACTGCTTGACACATATTATCTGAATTTAAACTCTGGATTGAAACCATGTCATTGTAACAACTGTTTTTCACTTTACTGGCCATTTCCAGTGATCAGTGATCTTCATATGCTGACCTAATGACGTTATAAATTATTACCCTCTCCTATCAGCATTAATTACACAGTGTGGCAGATTAAATTCAGGGGTCCTTCTCGACGGCAGATTTTTGTCGGGTCTGGACCATGGTTCCACCGGGTCCATGACGACACTATTTGGTCACTTAGTTTACTCTTTTTCTTTTTTCTTTTTTCGCTTACTATGCACTTACTTTAATATTAACTGTTAATTTGTCACAAATTTGACTTTTTATTAGATTAATTAGGTATAGTTGAGCAAATACATACTTTTATGATTCTTTAGTTATTTTTTTATTTGAGAGGCGGGATATAATATTAAAAATAATTTGAGTAACTAATTAAAGAATTATCAAGTTTAATTATTTTAATTAATAGTTAAAAATAACTTGCGTACTATTGAGCAAAAGAAATTTTCTAATTAAGTATATGAAAAAATTAATTTTAAAAAAAAGTTTGCTTTTTCTTACTTTATTATTAAAATAAATCATTTGCATATTTTTACCTTCAACAAATAAAAATAAATTAATTTAAAATTTATTTATTTACTTAAATGAATTTTTTAAGTTTAACATAAATTCTAAATGTTGAAATGAGTTGGAAAATCATTGTGTCTCTTTCTCTTTTATTCATTTTTCCATGAAAAGTAATTATGGGAGGATAAGAAGTATTAATGACTTTAATTTCTTTCATCATTGCATCTTTTACAATAATATAATGATAGGACTTTGGGACCCTTTCCCACCTAATGATTAAATGTGCCTTTGATGGTTCAAGTTTTAAGAATCACTAATTATCATTATCCTTATCTTAATTATTCGATGGTCGGATGGTGAAATTGATTTGAAATCAATCTCCTCAAAAAAAGTTATGAACAAACACTAGTTGAAATTTGTGATTTTTTTTAAAGTTAATAAACATGAAAATGACATAACAGAACGAAGACTAAACAATTAATATTAATAAACAAGTTTTAAGATACTATTCATACGTTTGTAAACAATCATTAGTTGACCTAAATTATGTGGATACATTAGGGTCATAATTCAAAATTATTTTAGCTTGTTAATCCAAATAAATTATCTTAGAATTATTTTGGACATCATCTCATTCAATGTGAGGTCTATTTGAGACGAAATATTATAGGTTTTTCTTTTTTTCTTTATTTATTTTTTATAAGGAAAGATATAAATACAAGTGTATCAATTAAATTACCAAATCAAAAATACAAAACTTACAAGAAATATTTTATAGTGAACATTCTCTAAAATCTACTTATTGTTCTATTTAAATCTTATTACGATCACACATTCAAGCACGTTCATTTATTGAGTTGGGGTAAGGAAAATGGGCGTAGAACTATGTTTAAAGCACGGTTTTAGGGTTATTGCTATGAATTTTCACATCCCCATTATATATATATATATATATATATATAATCTTTTCTAAGATAATTTGAAAATTTATCTAATGGGCTTAAGTTATCAGTTTGGATTAAGTCATAAAAAAAAAGAAGAGGAAATTACAAAAAACCAGGTTTAAAGTTTAATAATGCATTAATCAGTTTCCATCAAAAATTAAACCCCCCACATATTAAAACCCTAATTCATTTTATTAAAACCCCAATCGCCCTCAGCCCCACCTCCCCAAGACCTGTAATTATTTCGGTACTTCCCCTTCCCTCCCTCCCTCCCTCCCTCCCTCTACACCCCCTCCCTCTCTCTTCTTCTTTACTACCAGATCACAACCGTAGGGGATGCCGCACTGGTGACGCCAGCTAACGGCGACTGCAGCATGACGTCGACATTCGGCGACCTCCTTTGTTCCTTCGGCGCCTTTGTACATTCGACTGCAACATAACAACAGATTACGGTGACTTTGCTCTAAGATCGCCTTTGTGCCTTCGAATCTGAGCGTTGTAGTGGCGATCTAAGTGATGTTTTTTGTGGTGTTAGTGGTGGTTTGATTGTGGAGGTGGCGGCGACGCTAGTGGTGGTGTAGTGGTTCGAGCTGCAATTTTTACAGTGACTTTGCTCGAAGATCGCCTTTGTGCCTTCGAATCTAAGCATTGTAGTGGCGATCTGAGGGATTTTTTTTGTGGTGTTAGTGGTGGTTTGACTGTGGAGGTGGCGACGACGCTAGTGGTGGTGTAGTGGTTCGATCTGCAATTTTGGGGAGTGGGGGGTTTTTGGTTTTTCGATCTAGTGGTGGTTTTCGTTGGAGGTCCAGGTGGGGTGGTGGTGGTGGCAGCGATCGACGATGATGATAGTGGTGCGGTGGATCTAGGCATGATATAGGCGGTGGTAGGCAAGCTTGGTGATTGGCTCGTGTGATTTGTTTGTGGCGGTATGTGCAGTGGTGTTACTGGTGCGGCAGTGGTGATTGTATTGATTTTGGTTGGCCAAGGGTGGGGTGTCCATGACCAACAATTCCCCGTCTGTGACCAACTATTTGGACGTTTGTCACCAATTATTTGGCTGATTTGTGACAAAAAATTAAGCGTCTGTGACTATAAAATAATTTGTGACCAATAAACTGTGATATGTGACCCATAAATAAAATGTGACCTGTAATTTGAATGATTTGTAACCTCGAA